CAGCTCCTTACTGTTGTTGCCCTTGGAGGTGGGCCTGCTGTACACCTCTGGTAAGATGATCTGTTCCTGGATTAGCTGTGTGGTTTTGATCCTAGTCTCACTGCAGGGACTTTAGCTGCAGGGTTTTACCTAGCCTGTATGCTAGTTCTGGGCTGACTCTGGAGGGGTATGAGGAGTGGGGGGCAAGAGAGCACAGAAGCTCTCACACACACTCACCAGTGTTGTGTTTTGGTGCATCTGCAAGACTCCCAAGAGCACGGCAGAAGTTCTTACTCAGATGGTGAGCTGTGCTGGGTCTGGCCGAGTGGGGGAGGTCTGGAGATCGTGGGCAAAGGCCTCTTATGTGGCAGGCCTGGGCTTGGAGTGGCGGGTGGGTGCAGGACAGAGCAGAAGCTTTCCCCCACACTCACAGGGCCTGGGGTTGGTCGGAGGGCCCAAGGCACAGTGGAAGTTCTCACTCAGAGGGCAGGCTGCACTGTGTCTGGTGGGCTGCGCTGGGTATGGCTGGGTGGGGGAGGTCTGGAAAACGAGGGGAAATGCCTCTCTCACGTGGCAGGCTTTGGCTTTTAGCAGTGGGTGGGCACAGGACAGAACAGAAGCTCACCCCCACACCCACAGGGCCTGGGCTTGGTCGGATATCGAAACTGATATTTTAAAAAAAAATAGTTTTGTGAGCTCACATAGTATACTAGTGGGCGGCCATGCTATATACTGCACTATGATAAAGTCTTCCACTACACTATTTTATGGCTTTTCAAAAGGTATGTTCTTCCCCTGGAAATGTCCCCACCTCTTGAAAAGAGTTGCCCTGTCAGAGAGAGAGGAATTTGGCATTCATTCAGGGTTCTCAGTTGGCTCTGGGCAGTGGGGCTGATACATGTTCTTCCTCCCTGCCATTGTAGAGGGAGCAGTTGGCAACCCTCAAACCCAGAACCTCCTGGCTGTGGTGTCTGAGGACACCCCCATCTCTGTCCTGGGAATACAGACACATGCTGCCCTTAGGTGATCAGGAAATGGAAGACATGAAAGGGGACAGAAAGTGAGGGTGGTCAACCCACTGTGTGAAACCTGAGAGTGAAAAAAAGAACAGTTGTCTGGGGGCAGCGAAGAAAAGCACTTTGACCAGTGAAAAACTTGACACTGGGATAGAGGGGCTCTTGGTTTGCCAGGGGATAATGGTGCTGTTTGTTTGTTTGATTTATTTATTTATTTTGCATTACCAGGGATTGAACTCAGAACCCTGTGCTTGCCATGTGAGCGCTTATTCTACTGAGCTATCTCCCCAGCCCAGTGGTGCTGTTTTGAGGCTTGCTGGCTGGGAATCTGGAAAGAGCAACCAAGTGGACAGGGAAAGGAGAGCCACAGCTTCTGGGTTTTGAGAACAACATGCACAGAAGCTGCTGTACTTATGTAAGAGACTGCTGTGTGGTTCATTTCTGAGCTGCCCCCAGCCCATTACCCTGGCAGTAGATAGGAGGCAACTGAGTCACATCTCCATGTTGTCACCCCACCCACCTGAGAAACACACTTTTGGTGTCTTATAGTGCAGTGTTTCTTGCCTTTGCAGGAAAAGGATGCAGAATTAGTGAGAATGTAGGTGTCTCAGCCCCACAGCCACCACCACACCTTAAAAAAGGAAAGATCACCTTATTCGACTGGTGTTAAAAAAGTGTCTGGCAACTGACAAGTTTAAGGACATTAAGCTTCTTAGAATAATTTTCAGATATTTCTAACAATAAACTCTGGAGCAGGGAAATGCAGGAGGAGTAAGAGAGAGAGACAGTTCAGATAAGGAACTGGAAGAGCAAATTTAGAATCTGAGGCTGAGAATCTGCAAGGTCACCCTTGATTGTGTCATTTAGTGCTGGCTTCTACCATTCTCTGGGTCTCTGTGGTTCTCCAGCAGGGCAGTCATAATGTACACAGAGAATGTTTGGATTCCTGCCTTGAGTTTAGAGCCCAGAGGAATCAATTTAGTAATAACTACATTACACAAAATGAAAGATGCTGTGGTGTGCTAAGGAGGGGTTCTGGGAGCTGCTCACTCTAGGGCAGACTACAGAGGATTCATTCTAAAAGATTTAAAAACTGGGGCACAGTGGTGCATGCCTGTAGTCCCAGCACTCAGGAGGCTGAGGCAGGGAATCACTGTGAGTTCCAGGCCAGCAGGGGTTAAAAAATGAGCTCAAGGCCAATGTGAACTGCATAGTGAGATCCTATCTCAAAAAGGCAAAAACAAAACAAAACAAAAACCAAACCACAAAACTATGTAAAACTTGCAGCAATTCTAAACCACGTTGGTGATGAGAGATTCCTATCTCCTAATTTAGCTTAAGATTGAAATTCCTTTTGGGTTTGCTTTTATTTTAAAAATCTTTATTTAGACATAATTCATGCAACATGATTCATCCATTTAGAGTATTCAATTCAGGGCTAGAGATAAAGTTCAGTAATTGGCCCATGCTTAACATGTGTGAGGCCACAGGTTTGATCTTCAGCACCATACACCCAGGCACACACACACACACACACACACACACACACACACGCACACAGACTAAACTGTACATTTATTGGTTTTTTAGTAAATTTACACAGTAGCTACCACCACAATCTACATTTAGAATATATTCATCACATGTTGAATTTGAGTAATACATATGTAAGCTTCACATTTTCATTGGTAATACTTTCAGGTTTTCACGCCACATGGACATTAACTTGGAGAATGTTGTTTACATTATTTGCCTTTGATCTAACTGAATTTAGCTACACACATTTGTTTCAAAAGTAAGTTCACAATGGTGAGGAGTTACTTGGGGTCTGTGACTGCAGGCAGTTTTTGCCTGCAACTCTTGTCACTTACATGTTCCCGCATTTAAACCATGGATTCAAAATAAACAGTAAGAGATGGAAACTGTTTTGAAACTACTTCTTTTCTGGCATACCTTTCTTTCTTTCTTTCTTTCTTTCTTTCTTTCTTTCTTTCTTTCTTTCTTTCTTCCTTCCTTCCTTCCTTCCTTCCTTCCTTCCTTCCTTTCTTTCTTTCTTTCTTTCTTTCTTTTCTTTCTTTCTTTGGAACCGGGGATTGAACTCAGGCCATTGCACTTGCCAGGCAAGCACTTATTCTATTGAGCTATCTCCTTGCCCCCTTTTCTTTCTTTCTTTCTTTCTTTCTTTCTTTCTTTCTTTCTTTCTTTCTTTCTTTCTTTCTTGTGTTTATTACAGGGGATACAGGGTCTCACTATGTAGATTGAACTCGCAGTGATTCTCCTGGGATCACAAGCGTGCGCCACCATGCCCATTCTCAATTGCTGTTTCAATGTGCCCCAGGGGTAGGGCCAGCACTACAGGCCAGGGATCAAACCCTGGTCCCTTTGTCTGCCTAAGTAGGCACTTTAATCCACTGAGCTATCTGACCAGCCTTAACAATGGATTTTTAAAATGCCAATATTTACTTTTCTTTAGTCATTTTCTCAGATTTATGAAAACTTTGGAAAACTTTCACTAAATTATCACTATTATTATTGTTGTTGTTGTTTTGATGGAACTGGGGATTGAACTCAGACCCTTGCGCTTGCCAGGGAAGTGCTTATTCTACTGAGCCATCTCCCTGGCCCTTTCACTAAATTATTAAAAAAAATTGGTGACCAATAATGTTGTGGAGAAAGCTTTTTTTTTTTTTTTTCTGAGACAGGATCTTACTGTGGAGTTTAGGCTGCTCTTAAGCTCACTCTGTAGGCCACGCTGGTCTCAAACTTGGGAGAGTACTTGTGTCTCAGCCTCCCGAAGGCCGGGATTATAGGTGTGTAGCACCATGCCCAACTGAGAAAGCATTTTAATGAAAAAAAATTGAGACTTTTTTTCTTCTACAGTACTGAGGATCAAAGTAGAGCCATTGTATGCTAGGCAAGCCATTTGCCACAAGTCACACTCCTGCCCTTCTCTGGGACATTGGAAGTCACTAAAATTGGTCCTAAAGACAAACATGTAAGTCTCTTCTGAACTTTATGGAATTTCTTATTAAATTTGATGTTCATGACTCTGTCCAACTTTTCTTCATGTCTAAGTCTTGCATCTGGTCATTCACATGAAGGGCTTTCTCAAGTTAAAATTACTAAATCATACTCTTTGCTCCGAAGATAGGCCTCTAAGTCTTGAGATACAGTTGGACATGAAGAAGGGTAGATTGCATGAAGTCACTGGCAAATATTTCTAAGCAAAACTGAAGAACAGAACCTGTAGTGTTTTTTTTATTACTGCACAGACCAGTATGTAGGCATTTTCCTTCTTTTAAGAAGTACATTAATGGGACAGGTAGCTAGCACAGCAGCGCAGTGCCTATTTGGCAAAAACAAGGTCCTGAGGTTGATTCCTGACACTCAAACACACATATTCAAGCATGAATACCTGTGTGCACACAACTATAAACTAATGTCGCTGAGTGTACCAACATGTTACATTTAATTTTGTTGAAATATTTCATTTTTAATGAGATGTGGTGCTGCATATCTATAATCCCAGCTATTTGGAAATTGATATTGGAAAATTCCAAACTCAACTGTAACATGGCCAATTTATGAAGCTTCTACTGTAAGATAAAAAATAAAATGGGATGGGAATGTGGCTCAGTAGTAGAGTATTTGTCCAGCATAGGCAAAGCCTTGAGTTCAATACGTCATACTGAAAAAATTGCTTTTTAATTCTTATTTTTATTAATGTGATTATATATTCATATATATATGAATATTTAGATATGTACTCATAAATGTGAATGTTTGTATATATAAATAGTATATATATGATGTTAAATAAAAGAAAATATTTCTTTTCTGGCTCTTACTAGTTATTTCTTTATATGATATTACTGAAAACAGTTTTGTCATAATGAGTGAGGAGTGTTAAAAATTTCTGCATTGTAAGATATTTGACCATGTATTTCTCATCTTTGACAATTAGACTTCTGTTTGGTTTATTCTTTTAAAAAGCTATGGCATCATATATTCCTTCCTGCAACTTACTGTATTAGGATCTGGTTTAGGGAGATTCACTTCTGATGCCCACATGTACTGAACCAGATGCTGGAACAAGTGGTTTTCTAGGCGTTGCTTGGTGCTGTCATTTTTTAAAATTTTTATTTTTTATGTACTCAGTACAGGGTCTACAGGGTCTCACTACATAGATTGGACTCATAGTGATTCTGTTTTCAGACTCCCAAGTGCTGAGATTACAGGTGTGCGCTACTATCCTGGCCACTGTGCTCTGCTTAAGCAGGCACTGTAGTCCACTGAGCTATCTCACTGGCCTGGTGCTGTCATCTTATTACTCTCATGAAATAGGTTTTATCATCTTCATTTTATAGAGGAGGCTGAGAGAGAGATGAGAAGAGAGAGAGAGAGAGAGAGAGAGAGACAGAGACAGAGAGACAGAGACAGAGAGACAGAGACAGAGAGACAGAGACAGACAGAGAGAGACAGAGAAAGGTATTTAGCAAAATAAGCAAGATTATGCAGAAACATGTAGTAGGTTTGAGTCAAGATCTGTCTACCAATGAATGTGCACAGTCTAAATGGAATTTAATACACATCCATAGAGATAAAATAATATAAATAATACATGCAAATTATTCAGGAGAGACCTAGAGTAACACTGTTCAAGTCAGGCATTGTCACTGAGGACTCTCACCATCAAGAAGGCTTTGTAGGGAAGCCTCTCACAGACCTTCCAAGGAGCACTTAGATTTGGAACCTGAAAAGAGAAGAGGCTAAACATGAGGAAAAATTAGATCTGAGGACCTAAGACCTGAGTTAAAATGACTTATAGAGATCTGTTGAGGGAAGACAGTTATGTCCTTCTGATCTACCTGCAGAAGATAGTGAAATCCTGCTTTCCTCATCTCTACAAGTACTGTCAAGCTATTTCCTTTACACACTCAGATAGTGGGGACTGAATCATTCTCAGCCATCTTCCAGTACAGGTTTGGATTCCAGAAACTTGATCTGGTGCATTCAGTGTAACAAAATATTTAGAACATGGTAGCTATGAACAAAACTTCTTAGATTTTTCTCAGAACCTTATGATACTTAAGTTATCCCAAATGCATGTCTATACTGTCAAGTACATACATACAAATATATTTCTCTGCACAAATGGTAGCTATAACTATGACATACGCATCTTCTGCACCTTCCTGCATTTCTTATTTAATGTATATCATAGTTATATATCAGTATAAACATCATTTTCATATCAGCATAATATCTGCCTCATTTCTTTTTCTTTTTAAAAAATTTTATGTATTTGGTGCAGGGTCTCACTATGCAGCTCAGACTCATAGTGATCATCCTGTTTCAGCCTCCCCAGCACTGGGATTATAGACATGCATCACCATACCTGGTCTTGGTAGCCAGGTTGGTGTGCCCGGTGTGAAACTGGCATGGCATGCATTACTGTGGATCAACCCTGGGTCCTTGTGCTTGCCTAAGCAGGCACTGAGACTCCTGAGCTGTCTCCTCATGCTTCTTTTAATAGCTGTATTTTATTTTTATTTTTTATTTTGAAGATAAACAAATTTAAACCAATGCATAATTTCAGAACAAGATTATAGGAAATCAACAATGGTTGTTATATTGCATATTGCTATCTTCAAGTAGTTGACTCCCAAGTGTAAACATCGTAGTATCTTCCTAGTATAAGAAATTAATTTTTTTTAAATCCAACAAGTAAAACAGCTTTGTGAAAGGGAAAGTAACTGCATTACATTGTATTTCAGCTACATGCTGTGACTGATTTATTTAATTCAAACTCTATTCTTTGCCCCTTTTGTTGTTTCATTTGTTTTTCTATTACAAAGCACATGTCATATAAATGCCTGGAGCTTATAACTTTAATGCATATGAATGCATCCACAGGATAAATGCCTAAAAATGGAATTTCTGGGTTAAATGGCATGCAAATTTTTAGTTTTTAAGAATAGTGCCAAAATTTCCTTCACAAAAGTTGATGCTTAGTTTAGAAAAAATTAACTAAAGTGAAATTATTATCTTGTATAAAAAAAAAGTGTCCATTATCTGTTGGCCCCACCAAAGCTGCCAGCCATGAAAGTATGAGGATTTCAGTTCCTTTTTTTCTGTTTTACTAGCAATGAACAGAGGTATTAACTTGGATAATTGCACTGTTGACTTCTACTGGTCTGTTGAAAGGAACAGCTAATGTTTAATTTGTTTTTTCTTTTTTGCCATACTGGGGATTCAACTCAGGACCCTGTGTTTGCCAGGCAAGTGCTTATTCTACTGAGCTATCTCCCTGGCCCTTAATTTTTTTCTTCTTTTTAAGTTTTTGGACCAATGTTGCATGCTTATATCAGGTGATCTGAATAACTAATTAGAAGACAACAGTACACAACATAACAACCATTGTTGAATTCCTGTCATTTTTGCTTAGTGAAATTATGCATTGCTTCTATTTTTTAAATAATTTTTATTCTCTTTTTAAAAATACTGTATAACAAGGTCCAGGGAGACAGCTCAGCAGCATAGTGCCTGCTTAGCAAGTGCAAGGTCGTGAGTTCTATCTCTGATGCCAAAACAAAAAACAAAAAAACAAAAAGCACCATATAACAAGAGAACAAGCTATCAAATGCACCATGAGGGGAGAATTGAAGACAAGAAAAATCTGTGCTCTGTATGCACTTTCACACAGAAAAGTGGGAAGGGTTAAGAACCAAGTACAGAGAATTCATGAAAACAGAATCTCTGCCTCTCCCTAGGTCCCTCAAAGCCTTGAAAAGGCTGCATACACAGAGTAAGCATCTTGTTATTAGAGTCTTCAAACAGGCAGAAGAGTCCAGCAACAGAATTCAAACTTGAGTAAACACCTGGAGAAAATGAGAACGTCTGAGATGATCAGCAAAGAAAAAGTGTGGGCAGGGCAGGCAGGGAAAAGAGAGAAGTCTTGGTGGGGGGAACCCAACAGGGTGGGCAAAGAGGAAAGTTTAGGGGGTATAAGAAAAAAACAGGATTGGTGAAAAGGGTTTGTTACTGTATCTTTCTGATCATCTTTCAGGCTTGGTCTACTGAAAATCCCTTTAATGAGTTCCCACCACCAGGAATCAAGTTGTCTCTGCTTCCCCTCCACTGCAAAACTGTTTCTGTCCCTTCCCATATGACACAGGGCAAGGCAGTGTGTGTCTTGCCTTTATCTTCTCACATCTTTCTTCCTCTAAATTAAATGGCTCATAAACCCAGCCAGAGCATAACCTAATTTATGCACTAGCGTTCTCATCCCAGCACTTCTTTTCTCTCTTGACTGAATATGTAAGGGAGGGTGAAGGAATCAACCACATGCAGGCTTCAGTTTGCCTTGCTGAAAAAAAGTTGAGTTCTTTTTCTTGCTCATTTCTTCACCATGCCCTTCAGGACAGGAATCCTTTTGAATATCAAACTCAAGAAGAAGCTACAGCTGAGATGCCTGATGAAAGCAAAGCCCAGAGACTTCATAAACCATAAACTAGAAGTTAGGGAAAGATGTTAGGGGATCACAAGGTCGTACTCTTCGGCAAATGCAGGAATCTCCACATCACAGGTCTGTAGTGACAAGAAACTCAAGCAAGTGTAGGGAATGGATCAGTGTGCAGATACTTAGTTCATTAACATTCCTCCTCATAGCGAGTCCAAATTCTCTTACATGTGCCATTAGTCCAATTGTTCTATCTGGAGTTATGAGAAACAGATATAAATTCTTACTCCTCTGAATGCTGACAGTGTTTATTATGTCATTTCTCTAGAACTTCTTAGGCCTTAGCTTGAGAAATTTGAAATACTAATTCATCAACCTATGAACAATCCCTAATGCGGCAGGCATTTGCAAAAGTGATAAGCATACCACTTCTACAACTATGTTTCATCAAGTATGATACCCATGTTGTTGACATTTATTAATTCAGTAAAGGATGGCTCAGTGGTCTAAAAGCCTGTCTGGCAAATGCAAGGACCTGAGTTTGATCCCTGGTACTGAATGCCATGCCAGCCCTGAAACGGCATGGTGGCACACACCAGTAATCCCAGCACTGGGGGAGCTGAGACAGGAGGATCATTATGAGACTGAGCTGCATAGAGAGACTTTGTAATAAATAAGTTAAAAAAATTGTAAGTGGGTTATTGGGCCAAGGAGATAGCTCAGCAGAATAAGTGGTACCGGGGCTTGTCTGGCAAGTGCAAAGGTCTGAGTTCAATCCCTGGTACCAGAAAAAAAAAAAGTTATTTTGGCAAGGACTACATTGCAAGAAACTGAGGTGGCCTGAACCCACCCAGAGAATATAAATGACAACAAGAACATGAGACTCTCAGTTTAATAGGCCACAAGGAACTATTTCTGCTACCAACCATCTGAGTCTGAGATAGTGCCTTCCCTAATCAAACCTTGAGATAAAACCACAGCCCAACCAGGACCTTGATTTCAGCTTTGTGAGGTGCTGAAATGAAGCACAACTGTGTACCTGACACACAGGAATTATGAGATAAATAAATGTGAATTATTCAAAGCTGCTCAGTGCCTGGAAACACAGCTGTCAGCACAGATAGCTAGATGAAACTATCTGTAGAAAAGGGAAAATATTTGTATCTGACAAGGGGTTGATATCTAGAATATATAAGGAATACAAAACATGCAATAGCAAAAAATTGTTTATTTTTTATTAGTACATGATTGTGATACATAATGAATATATTCATTGCAGCTAATTGGTATGTGCACATTTTTCATCATAATCCTTTTTACTTGAGCCCTTCTTTTCCCTCCCTAGAGTTCTTTTTTACCTGTCAAATGTCCACATACTGTTCCCTATAATGTATATTTTATTGTGTCTTTAAATTTTGCATACTTTGGGTTTCTCCTACAAAAAAAATCATACATTACTTACCTTTCTGTGTCTGATTTATTTCACTTAGCATTATGGTCACAAGGTGCATCTATTTTCCTACAAATGACTGAAGTTTATCCTTCTTCATGGGAGAGCAATACTCCATTGTGTATGTGCATGCTATTTTGCTTTATCCAATCATATATTGACAGACATGTAGGCTTCTTTCAAGATTTAGGTACTATGTATTGTGCTGTCATAAACATGGTGTGCACATGTCAATGTAAGACAATATCTTGCCTTTTTCAGGAAGATACAGTGGTACCTCACTTCATAAATGTACCTCTTTCCATGATTCTAGTCAAAGAATTCATCCAAAATTCTGGCTGAAGCCAAATAGCAAGCATATACATAGGAATATGGAATATAGAACAATTCTGTGACCAGAATTGGGGAAAGAATTAAATTCACACACCAAAGCACAGTGGAAAATGTCTGGAATTAGGTGAGTACCTGGGTTAAATGAATTGTCCATTTTCAGTATATTTGAGGAATCTCAGTACTGGCTGCACTAGTTGGCATTCCCACCAGAAATGCCCAAGTGCTGTGCCACAGCACTGCAAGCCAGAAGCAGGGGCCCTAGGGCCATGGGTTGAACCTGTGCCCTGGGAAGCCAAAGCCAACCTTTCCTTTATCAAAGTTGATTACCATGGCTATCTTATCACAATGACTAAAAAATTAATGGATGGTTATCTCAGGTACTTTGTCACAGTGATTGAAAGCAGAGGACACAATCATAACACAATCATGTTCATGTAACCAGCTATTCTGTGTGATCATGTGTCTTCTAAGAGGTTCCAACATTTTCAAACAGGCTGAAAGGTACTATGCGTACTTCAAAGTTAAAAATAACTAAGACATGGCTAATACTGGAAGTAATGAAGTGACAGATAGACTACTTAGAATTGGGTCCACCCTTCTCAATTTTTTGGTCTCTTTTTAAAAATATTTTTATCTCTTCTCTAGCACATACCTCCACATGCCCACCCTCACCCACACATTGACTAGAATTTCTAGGTCATGGTTTATACATAGTTTTAATAGTCAAACAACACAACAATGTTCTTTGTGGGTTTTTTCTTTCTTTCTAGTTTTTTTAAAAAATGTATTTGGTTGTTATAGGGTCTCACTATGCAGCTTGGATTCATGATGTTCCTCCTGCTTTCAGCATCCCCAGAGCTGGGATTACAAGCACATACCACCACATTGAGTCTTGATGGCTGGCTCAATACCCTAGTGGTGGTGCCGGGGATTGAGCTGTGGTCCTGGGCACTTGCCTAAGCTTTCCTAACCAGGCATTTAAGTGCATTGAGCTATCTCACTGACTCTGATTTATTTATTTGTTTATTTATTTATTTATTTATTTAAAATCTGTTTTTAGCACTTATTCTATTGAGCTATCTTCCTGGCCCCATGGTTTTTTTTTTTTTTTTCTTTGTTTCTGGATTTCTTTTTTTTTGAGAGATAAATCTGGAATTTATTTCATTTTAAGATGTCTTGCTATGTACTTCAGGCTGGCCTCAAGTTCACTACATAGCACAAGCTGACCTCAAACTTACAGTGATTCTCCTGCCTCAGCCTCCTGAATGCTGGGATCACAGGTACACACTGTCACATCTCAGAGTTTTGTTAATCTTATTATTCTTAAAATATAAAAATTGTTCTGAATACAGATGTGTTACAAAATAAGATTATGTATCTTGATGGCACTAGCAATAATGCACAATTAGCTCAGCCCTAGTTTCTTTTTCTTTTTCTTTTT